CTAGCCTAAATCAAGGTTGTAGAACTCGTTACTTGGTACCTGTTCAGCCGACTACCGAGTAGGGTTGTGCATGGGTCAGTTTTGGACCCCAACCTAACCCAACCCGTAAATGATCGGTTTCTAGTTTTCAGAACCCAATAGGATCGGTTTCTGGTTGGTTCGGTTTCTCGGGTTCTGATATCGGTTTGGGTGGTTTCTCGGTTTCTTGGGTTCAACCCATACACTTACGGTTTCCTGCCATTCCAAAATCAACATCAAAATGACCGAATCCATAATCAAACAACTAAAATCGGTGTAATAATTTTATGTTTAGGTCGTTGTAGAGCACTCGACAGTTTCATAAATTGAACAAATATTTCAGCAAAGCAACATCAACACTTTGCTGTTTGGGGATAAAAATGTAATGTAATAGTAGCAAAGCAACGCACAGATTGGCAATTGCAACTAAGAAGTGAGAAACTGAAAAGCTAGAAGGGAGAATTTGAAAACGAGCCTGAGAAACGAGAAGGAATCATCGGAGGCATGGCGGGCTAGTAGCTTTGGAACTTGGAAGGGTGGCGCCGACGGTTTGGGAACGTGGTTGAGCTCGTCGGAGCTCCTGCTACTGGAGTGTACTTGCGTCGTCGACTTTGATCCGGGGAGGTGAGATGAGAAACGGTGTTGCCGCTAAGTGAGAAAATGAGAGATGAATGCGATTTACAGATTAGTAGCCACATTTGGGGTTGTAATATTAAATATTGTGTTTTTTTAATATGTACATGGTTTGGTTTTATGGATTGAGGGGGTCGGTTTTATGGGTTTAGAAATGGGTTGGTTTTACGGGTTTAGTGGGTTGGTTTCTATGTAAAAACCGAAACCGAACCTAATTTCGGTTTTTAAAAAATTTAAACCCTAACCGTCGATTTTGCTTTGGTTTTGGTTTTTTCGGTTTCGGTTTTGTCGGTTTCTTGGTTTAGGTTTGCTCAATCCTACTACCGTGTAGCGAGTACTCAGGAGTACTCGGATTCGGTAATTCATGTAGAAATATTTTTAGGGAACTTATATATGTCAAAATCATAAGTAAAAATATTAAGTTGATTGAAATATATAACAAAATTAGATATATATGAATACACAAAAACTGAAAAACACATAATGGTCTCATTTCGTGAATGATTACTGAAAAATTTAAGATATATATATATATATATATATATATATATATATATATATATAGTAATAATCACGTGTGTGTAATAATAAATCCTTAAGTATATTATACATATTGATCACCGAGTTGATCGGGTTTTACAACACTGCTCAGTTCAGTAGGGGGCCGATCGGGGAGTACTCACGATTCTGTAACTCGCATCGGTAAGGGGCCGAGTAGCGAGTACTCGGAGGAGTAATCGGCCAAATCGAAGAGTTTTACAACATTGACCTAAATACACAATCATACTCTAACAATACTTAACCAACCTATCACATTGGGCATATAATGCCTCACACAATATAATAAGAACACTCACCTGATGCCAATAATAGAATCTTAACAATAGCCTTTGTAACGAAATAACTAGCACATACCCACCTAATATCAAATTCATCATAGTTTGGCCAAAAGTCAAACTGGTAAAAAAAGTCAACAATCAATGGCTCATGTGCCATGCCAGCCTATGGACGCGTCGCGTCCATTACAAGACAAAATAGTTGTGCCATGTATCCATAGGCAGGCTGCAACCCTTCAAAAAGTGTGGCACACTTCTCTTCTAAACATACTCTTTCCTTAAGCCCTTAATCCTTTTAACCAAGAGTTATAACTCTTATATCTGAATCTCACAAGAGTTTTAATGGATAAAGTTTCCAAATTTATCCATAGCTATACCTCAATCAAACTCAATCTCAAAACATGACTAAAATGCTACAAAATTCTTGCATGGAAAAATAGGGACACAAACAAGCACTTATTTATCCATTGAAAGTCCAAAAAGTATGTAACATCCCAAGAAATGTATGTAAAAATTTCGTTTTTACTTCAACCCAAAACCATGAAATATTCATATCAACCATTCGAAAATATGTCAAAGTAAAAATAGTTATCAGAGTACAATCCCTAATTCATAAAAGTGTGGAAACATGGGTGGATGCACTACGATCAAGCTGGGCCCTTCCCCTTCGAACCAGAAGTACCTAAAACAAAATTGAAACCGTAAGCACAAAGCTTACTGAGTTCCCCCAAAATATTTCATACCATACATACAATGGGCCTTACCCGACATTGGGCCCTGCCCAATACAGGTCTGTCAATAACATGTGATAGGCCCCTATCTAACACACTCATCAGGATTCAACTGGCATTGGGCCCCGCTCAGTATACATGCAAACACATACAATACATGCAAGAGCCACACAGACAGCTAGCATTCTAATAACAATAATTAATGGGCCTACACTGGTGCCTTCGACCCGCCAAAACATTGTGAGAAGACTCACCTCAATCAAATGATGCACAAACACACACTCACATGTTGTTGTTATGATGGCTCCTTAACTGAACACATTCAAACTAACTCTAATAAAGAATCAGGGTAATAGTCACAACTAAAGTCCAATCACAATCCTTTCATAAAGGGTAAAATACCTGTTTACCTTTCCTACTCTAGGCGTAACAAGCCATGACCCAAGCCTAAAAAAACCTAAAGCCCAAGAAATAGCCTAAGAAGGATTCTGGTGAGTACGCCCCATGTACCACTAGTTACGTCCCACATACAAGCTTATACAACATAAGGGAAATCAGAGCTTAAACACACTATGTTGAGTGTACCCCTTTGTACCCCCCATATACTCCCTAAAATGCTAAAAATCACATTAAGCACTTAATGCTTAAGTCCAAATGTCCAAAACGCATATCTTGCTCAAGGGAAACGTCTTAAACGATAAAGTCATCAAGTTGATGCCTTTGCATGGCTCAAAGAGTCCCAACATGCATTTCTAACACTATAACTTCATATTAAGACCATCAACTCATGCATGGTTGACCTTAACCCACCAAGATGCCATTTTTATGATTCTACAACTCCAGAAATACCAAGAAATGACCAATACAAGTTCTGGAGTAACTTCTACTCACAGGAACCAAACCAAGGGACCGAAACATACCAAACATAATCCTAAATCTAGATCTAAGCGAAGGAGTCATAAAGTTTGAAGCTTTATACCTCTAGAAGCTTGTTAGGGGGAAGAGAGTTATGGATCTTCAAGCTCCAAGCAAACTAATCCTCATCCAATGAGCTCTTCTTCTTCTAGATGCACCAAACACACACCTAAAACACACTCAAGGATCAAATTTCTTTAAAATGGGATTAAGGTTTCGTGATAATGGTTTGGGGATAATGGAGGCTAGTAATGAGAGAAACCTTGGGGCATAAGGCGATTAAATAGGGTCCAAACCCTAAAATTTAGGGTTTACCCCTAACTCGAATGCACCCAGGTACCAGGGGAAAATCTTGTGTCCATGAATCGCTAAGATACACCCAACGTACCTTGATTACGCCCAACGTAATAGACTAATTTGCAAATTAAAGAAACACTTTATATTTTAAGAAATTTACCTGAGAACCTGGCGTTACAAAGCAACACCAAGAAACCTTGGGGACTGGAGTTTCCATACACCAAATGGATAATATCGAAAGTGACACAAACAATTCACTTGACTTAGCTTCTTGTGACATAATCCACTTGCTTCCTCTTCAAGACTCAACCAAATGCATCAAGAACACCAAGAATGGATGAGAGGTGCGAGGGGTTTCACTTATGGAGGATGGAGGTAAGATTTACGGAAACCATAGTAGTTAGAGCCCTTAAATAGCCCCCAAAACACAAGGCCTTAGGATCTTGGGGTGTTGTGGTGACGCACCTCGCTTTTTCAAAGTCGCGCCGTGTTTTCTTTTAAATTTTCGCTCTGTGCCTTTCCAAAGACTTGCTACGCTTTAGGTTAATTCGCAAAATCCTATATTCTCAAAACCCTAAAGTCAACACCTAGCGATCCCGAAAAAAAGTGTTTTAAGTGGTGTCTTTTTTTTCCTTTGATAAAACATAATTTGTTTTGAAGAATATTTAGTCAAAATGGGTATGCAAATATTTTAGCTAGGGATGCAATGTTAGTATTTATCTTTAAAAAAGTATTATATAAAAAATTAAAACTACCGGTAAAAATTTACAGGTACGCAATTACATATCCTTATTAAACTTTACATGTGCCTCTGGTGTGCCACAAAAAAGAAACAACCATCAAAACATGTTAGCCTATATTCTTTATATATATATATATATATATATATATATATATATATATATATATATATATATATATATATATATATATATATATATATATATATATATATATATATATTGGATTGCTCCCTACAGGCTAAGTCAATTTAACTTGAACCAATCCCATAAACAATGCAAAGTAGTTAGTATAACCTAGATTTATTTAGCAAACATGGAATTCTAGTTTTGTTTGGCAAGGTAATTTTTTTTCTAAAAAAGATTAAAAAATGTATGCTTTTTTAGACCAAAGTCAAATTTACGAACACAAATTTATGCTTTCAAACACAAATCTAGACCAAAAAATGTATGCTTTCAAACACAAATTTTTTCAAAGTGCTTGTTAATTAACAATTTTTTCCCATAAGATTTTTCAATCCTTCAGTGGGTCACATAGGTTTTCTACCTATTAGAATTAGATAACTCATACAAGATCACATAAATAAGCAGCTTGAAAAAGCTATACTATCGTAGAAACTGAATTAAGCTTTTTTTAGTCTAAGTTTACTCATGAAAAAGGTCCAACAAAAAAAATCTCCTGTTGTGCATGCTCTTAAAAAAACAAAAAAAAAAAACATAGTTTGTTGACACCAAAAAAAATTAAGGCAACTAACTACTAAATAAAGGGAAACGGACGAGCTTACTAGAACGCATGGCATCTCATCTAAATTTCATATTTACTGTATGTACGAAAAAGGTATGCCAAAAATCCTCATTCGACTACAACAAGAATCAAAACGACATTTGGGAATTGGGATTTGTAGCAAAAAGTGATGAAAACCATATTTCAAAACAGCCATTTTGACATGTCGCTATAATATGAGAACAAATGTACAAAACATCAGAATGTTGATGTTGATGTTTCTTCTAACTACCATCAAGATCCCCGCTTCCATTTTTCTTCCGTTTCCTTGCATAGCGCTTCATTATAATATGCCCCTTGAACAGCTGATGTCTGAAAATGTAAAATTGGCTAAATAAATAACACTACTATGCCTATTTCAACCAATTTGTGTAAATATGGGTCACTTTGTGTTATACTTTAATGCTAATGGATCAAAATGATAAAGTTAGAGAAAGAATCATATGCCAAAAGGATCCAATTGGCATAATAATCAAGCATTTGTAACTTTTTAAATTGCCTTGTTAACAAAAAAAAGGATCATTATTCTAATAATAGTTTTTTTCTACTTACTTGGCGTATTCTAGTTTCTGAATAACGATCCCGTTTAGTAAGAGTTCCGAACTATAAACTGCTACACCTGCAAGTACATATACTTAATGTTTTTCAACTAACTTTCAAATTAACATTTAATGGAGCCATAAAAAAACACACAGCTAAATACAAGAAACAGCAAGATTCTTGATACATAATATATGGATCTATACCTTTGTCTAAGAATGGAACACATGATACATAATCTTGTTCACAAGACAGTATTAACATATCATCTGAGGTCTTGCACTCCATGCTAGCTTGCTCAATGTCTTCCATGACCTATGGAGCATCTCATTGTAACATTAGTTTCAGTTGCACATATGCATGACAATAGCAATTCTTTTATATTATATATATATAATTTTAGAATCATCAAAATCAAATAAGAGCATGATCACACCTGACCATGAACAGCCTTGATCAAGTTTTTAATCATTTCTCTGTCAGGTTCTACATTTGGGGTAATGAAGACTCTTCGATCCTGGTATTTTAAGGGCACATATGATTAATGAGCATATTCATATAAACTTTTATCATGTAATATTGAATCATTATCAGTTACCTTTAGAAGTGGATGTGTTGTTGCACGAGACAATGAAACAGGCATGCTAAAGCCCATATGTTTTTCCTTTTTAGCATCTCTAAGGATGTAATTTTTCTCATCGATAATACACCCTACCTGATCACAACTCTCTAGCCACAAGGGTGTCACAATTTGTTTACCTAAACCCATTGCTTCCAACATCTTCTTTGTTCTTGCAAATCTATCAGCTACAAAATGTGTAGCATCTGAGCAATCCGTTGCCATACAAGTTCCCAACTTTTTCAGAATCTTCATCAAAGAAAAACAGAATTCATGATCAAGAAAAGCTATTTGAAGCAAATTAGATCTAGAAAAGCTTTCTGAAACAAACTGGAGAACCTTTCTCTGCTGCTTAACCACATCATCATCAAGGCTTTGGCTGAACAACACACGGATTTCTACCTTACTTCTACGTCTTCTCAAATCCTTTGACATAAAAACAGGGGCAGATTCGGAAATTCCCAATCTAGGAAGCTCATTCCTGAGAGAGGAACTTGTAGAGCTTTTCTTGTGCAGTTGCTTCCGGGGTAGACCTACTGAATAGACACTTTTTTAAAAATTGATGATGTAAAAAGGATAACAAAAAGTAATAAATTCCAGTGCGATTTGTGAAAAGTTTGTTATGATAATGCATATTGCATACCCTGATCAGAAGTCCTAGAGGCGCTACTCATAATGTATGGTGTCTTGTTCTTTCCATTTGATGATAAATCTTTTATCTTCTCCTCACCACCTAAAGCTGGTATAGATTCGAATGAGTGTTCAAATTCGTTTAAAGTTTTTGGAATCATCTTTATCCTCATTGAAACACATTTACTGTTGCTAAGTTTCTTTCCAGATGTTGACCTGTATATGGAAGCAGAGCGTGCTTTCCTCTTTACACTTGACATGAAAGAAGCTTCCCTGAAGTTCCCTTCCATCTCACCATTGCCACCCTTGACTACAGAAGATTGAACATTTAAGGTGTTTGTCAATTTTGCATTTTGTATCATCATATTTCTACACGTCCTTTTCTTTTTGGGCCACTTCCATGTATCAAACTTCCAATCACCTAATTTTCTTTTATGAAGTACATCAATCTGCTTACCATTATACGTTGCATCTGCAGTCCTATGTGAGCGTTTTTCAGAGGACCCATGTCTAGTTCGAGAAGCCACAGGTGAAAAGGTTTTAACTTCCTTATCTGGTTTTATGTTTTCCTTGTCTGCATCTTGTTTTTGCTTCCTTCGTTTATAAACTTTCAAAGATTTCTCATGTACCTTCTTCTTTGGTTCAATAAGATTATCCCCATTTGTGCAGTTTTCATCCTTTCCTAGATTCGGTAACTCAAGATTCAACTCTCTTTGGTTTTTATTATGGAAGCAAGTAGACATTTTATGTCTTCTGTTAGCAACCCTCTTTTGCTTAAAACTTATTCCATTGGTTTGTGAATCACAGTTAGCACTCAAAGGAAATGAGAACTTTTTGGATGGATTCTTGACCCTTGTATGTTCATTAACATCAATATGTGGAGGTGTGGCATATAGCAAGGCTTCCATAGCTTCAGCTGCCATTTGAGTGTTAAAACCAACATCAAACATATCTGGTGGTTCATCCCTCTCATTGCTATCGTTTCTAGGCAGCTGTTTGGATTTGCATCTTTCACTCAAATGTTTATCTCTTTGTATGTCAGGTTCTGTTTTCTTTTCCAAAAAGAACCCCCCTCCATGATCAGGTTTATCACTATCCCAATCGAAGGTTGAAAAACCGATTTTGGTCATAAAACTGGTCTTCATTGCTAATTTTTGGGACCCTTTTGCACATGAACTAAAAGGTGATCTTGGTCCATCATATTTCAGAATCTTGACTTCTGGAGAGGAGTTTACAGCACTAACTGACAGAAAATGATCCACAAATTTCAATGCATCAGCTTCTGCTGATTCTCCAGGTTCTTGAGATTCATCAACTACTGCATTCTCATCCTCAAAATTATTAGAAGAGGCATTTAAATTAACAAGCTTATCTCCTTTTGAACATCTTGTGTCTGTATCCCAGCTCCCAAATTCATTTTCATTATGTGACACTAAGTTTCTCTCTTCTGATCTTTCACTGGGAATATTATCAGTTAGTTTGTCTGTCAAATTGCTTCCCGCTGAAGAACCAACATCAACGGATTGTGCATGTCGCCATAAACATCCTGATAAGAAATATAACTACAAATGAGTCAAAATTTTATGAGGAATAAACATAAAAGAGATGCAAAAAAACACAATTTCAAATGGGATTTATAATTCTTGACATTAATGAGTGTTTTGCAAAGCAGCAAGATGCCTGTTTCAATATGTTAATTGGCTTACCTCTTATTTTTCCCTGTTTTTGCTCAGAGATAGCTTCATCATCACTATCCAGCACAATTTCATCCTCACTATCATCTACCATTAGGGCTCTTAGGTCGCCAACAAAATGTGAAATATCCAACTCCTCAGTATCTGCATCCAAATTCTGCAACGGGCTTTCCAATTCTTCGGTGAAATCAAAATCCCCAGCAATAAGATGACCATCCTCAACACTTACATTAAGGTTGTTGCCTGTTGAATCAAGAATGGATGCACATAAGACTTAGTTCATGCTATGAGCCTTCAAATACAATTTCTGAAAGTGCTCCATAGTATATGAGATTAATCATGGATCGTTCTTAACCCTGTAATTCTAAACAAGAATCCATAGCATCTCTCTTGATTACAATAAAACTAAGAACTTTGCATTGCTTTGAGCTTGGAAATCTCAACCTGATACAGAGTATCCTAGAATCCATAGCATTCTCTATTCCATTACTAGGAAACTGAAAAGCATTGATTTGATTTGAAATTCAATCCACCATGAAATTTCAACTAAATACAGAGTACTCCCTCTGATATAGAAAATAAACTCACTTCAAACCATGTGGTTAACAAATGTCATTTATTCACCACCAAAATCATTCTATTTGGAAGTACTTGATATACAAATTCAAGTCCTTAGCTATGCTATCAAAAATTCAAAATGCATAACCAAAAATTATAAATGCTACCCTTTTGACCTCCTCAAATCACAAAGCGTAGTTCCTTTTTTTTTTTTTTTTCTGGAACAGCTAGAAATGAACAGATGATATACAAGTAAAACACACACATCATATTTAGATCATATATTCGAGTGTGCCAATGCTTATTGTTGGGAAATGTAACAATAGAAGGGAAAAACAATATGTACCCGCTTCACGATCATCCAATGCGGCCATAAATTAAACACTTTGTGCAAAACCAAAACCCTAATCAGTTCTTTCAATTCACACCAAACGCCTACAACAAAAACCGATTAGAAACAAGAAAACCGGCATTATTCTACAGAAGATGGAAGAATCGACGTAGAAGCTTATTTGAGAAGCTAGTGATGACTAAAAAGTTTAAAAGAAAAACTGAAAACTTAATCGTAGATTGGAGGATAAACTCATGGAATATAACGTTGATTAGGTAAGATTACAAATGAAATGATAGAAAATGATAGTGAAATTGGGGTGAGAGACTGTAATATGAATTTGAGTTGTGGATTTTGGGGATGCGAAGCGATAAACGAGGAAAAAGAGTGGGAATTTGGAGGGAAATAGGAAAATGAGTTGAATAAGAAAAAGGGGCATTCCGAGAATCGAACTCGGGACCTCTCGCCCCCAAACCAGAATCATACCACTAGACAAAAATGCCCAACTTGATAATTTAGTACAGATATTATAATATAATCCAATGATTGGTTCACGATTGATCACGTCAAAGTAACATCCAAACTTGAAAATAACAAATCAAACCAGAGACCTGTATTATATGAGATTTTATACAAAATATCCGAATACACAAAAATAAACTTTACGCCGCAATCAAAACATATAAATATAAAGTTTGGCGGCAAGAATTAATGATAGAGGGTTGTGTAAGTACCACAAGGGAGCTGGTTACGTGTAATGACGGAAATAAGGAATACTAATTACAAGCCAATAATGAAATGTGGTTTGTCACGGAATGTGGATATGTGGATGATGTCATATATATACATAATATTAATATGTTTAGCGAGATAATAACATAAGTTCTAGTTGGTTTAGATGGTTAATGTGTTAGAAGGTGTTTTTGGAAGTTGCAAGGTCAAATCTTCTTTCAAACGTTAACTTTTTTTCCGTAGCTCCTTTTATATAGTTTTATATGGATTATACATATTATATTATGATGTTGTGAAAATTAAATACAAGTACTAAGTTGTCCAACTGGTTAAACGTTGAACTTTTAATTTTGATGTCCCTATTTCAAATCTTGAAATTAACTTTTAACATTGAGGTCCCTATTTCAAATCTTGAAATTTAATACAAGTACCGAGTTGTCCAACTAGTAAAATGTTGAACTTTTAACTTTGAAGTTACAATTTCAAATCTTGGCCCTTACATAGGTGTACTTTATTTTATTTATCAGTTTTTCAACTTGTTATTTAAAATTCTAAATTATCCCACATCGGTCATAACATGAAACATAGCTCTTATACATCTGTTATATAAGCAACATAAGCTTCTCAATTATCAACAAGTTAAATTTTCGAATGAGTTTTGGTTTAAACCTAAAACCAAGTTTTGGAAACCAAGAAACCGAGCATCGGATTGTGATACCCTTTACTTTGACCTTGGCTTCGCTACTGTTTGTGATAGTTGCATGCATTGCATTCTTTATATGAATTGTGTTTCCTTAACCACCCATTTCTTAAAGTATAAAATTGTCATATGTTGTTGACCAGGTTATTGAACCCAAGCCTTTATTGTGTTTATATGGTTTTTCGGACGTTTGGTTCGAGTAAGTCGGACAGTGGCTAAGCCAGGTTCAAAGTAAAGGGGTATCCCAAATCGAGTTCGGTTTCTCGGTTTTCCAAACTCGGTTTCGGGTTTAAACCCAAACTCATTCAAAAGTTTAACTAGTTGAGACTTGAGAGTTAAGAAGTTTGTGTTGCTTATATAACATATGTATATAAACTATGTTTCATGTTATAGCCGATGTGAGACATTTTAAATTTTTTAAAAACAAGTTGAAAAATTGATAAACAAAATAAAATACACCAATGTAACAACCAAGATTCCAAATAGAAACCTCAAACTTAAAAGTTCAACACTTTACCACTTAAACAATTTAATATTTGTGTTTAATTTTCAAAGCATCATAATATAAAAGGTATAATTTGTATAAAGCTATATATGCGAAAATAAAAGAAAATAAATGTTTGCAAAAAGATTTAAAATTGCACCCTCTGGAAACATCCCTTAACACCTTAACCATCTAAACCAATTACATCTTGTGTTATTATCTCGCTAAAAATATTAGTATTATGTATATATACAGTACATAAAACGAATTTTTTCTAAAAAAATTATACTACCGATTTTTTTTTTCCGGGGATTTATTGCGGAGCCGCCCATGAAGTCAGATTGCTAAATCTCACTCCAAATAAATCGACATCGGGTAACTCACTAGGAAATTTCATTGCATAACTTATTTTGATATGTGCTCATATTAAAAAAATGAAAGATTTAGAGGTGTGAGACATTTAGAAGGCCTCGTTGTGTGCGAAACTTAATCCTTGTTTTGATACCTATAGAAACCTCGCACTTTGAATTAAACTATTAACTTGAACACTTTTGGGACCGTTTATTTATCGAAAACTTTATGAAATTGTGAACTTTTTTTTAAATATTTAAACATGTTTTAAATTCACCTCGCAAAGGATGTAACAATCCCGCAAATCGAACATAATAAGTCGTGGACATAAATCAATTTGTTTACCCGACTTTTCCTAACAGGAAGCCGTTCATAAGCAATCTCCAAACAAATTTATTTATCTTTTCTAGGCGCATAATGATTCCACTTAGTGACACCATTCCTATCAGATAAGAAAAAAAAAATCATCAAGTGTTTTTTCTTACAACATTTGTTGATAAAGAATCTAACTTCCAATACTACGAGTCAACTATCCTATGAACTAAATTTTTGAAGAGTATGCAACAGGTCCTCGAATTGGGTGTCTTCAGCTCCACACCTAATTTGTCTCCCCCGTTTTTACATCCAATGCAACTCATTCTAATCATCATTAATATAGCAATCCTATGCAACTCACCTAATTTGTCTCCTCCGTTTTCACATCCTATGCAACTCATTCTAATGATCCTTAATATAGCAATCCCTATATTAACTCAAGAAAAAACAATATGTGGAACTTAAATTATAAATCCACACATCAACCTTAATATCTATCTAAAAACGTGGTAGAATTACCATCTCCCACATGTTTCACCAAAACATAATGAGGAATTATGTCTTTGACATTTATACCACTAAGAGAATTGATTATATAGGCTCAAACTCTATTTTTTCGCACCTAAACTCACCAAACCAAAACTCCACAACCTTACACCAAAAAGGCCTTCTGCTCCTTCAAATCGCCACCTCCAATTATTTTTATTTTTATTTTTATTTATTTTTTTGTAGGAGAGCATGGTTGAAACTCTCCAAACTCCCTATATCAATTCCGTTAATTTCGTTTTTATGTTTGAAGGTCATAACCAAATCCTCATGCATGGTACTAATTCTAACATGTTATGATTCTTGAATATCTTCAAAATTTGAGTGTTTTTTGTATCATTTATCACTAGCGTGGAGGCTAAGATCATTTACGAATGACATATAATATGGGAACATGATAAGAGTTTTAGTTAGTTAGACTTGCAAGATCAAGTGCTAAGGGTCATAATTGTCGATTGGTACAAAATTTTAAAATTGTGTATAATAAATTACATTCAAGGTTATTCGATTTAATTCAAACATATTTTACTTTGCATTTAGTTATTTTTGAATTTTCTTAACTCACCATGTAGCATTTAAGACTTTGGAAGCCATCAATCCATTATATAGAATAATGGGTATTAAATGTGAAAGTTAACATAGGAAATACATATATATTTTTTAATGCGAAGTGATTTGTCCACAACAATTTTTCTTATACACAACAATTTCTCTTTTATAAAGTTATACAATACAATATTTTAAAACATAAATTGTTATGTGTGGAAAAAAAATTGTTGTCTATAAATTAGTTCTATTTTTAATCGATTCTTATATGAAAAACATTCGTCATCATCAGTTTCTTTTATAAGTTAATCAAATGAAATGAAGAATGTATGTGTTCAAACCGGAAGTTACATATTGAAACAATCAATTCTTGTACATTCGAAAGGAGTGGATCATATGGAATAATGATTTTTAAATGTGGAAATTAAAGTGGAAATTCAACATTGAAACAGATTCTCAATTAGTACATAATTTTGTTTAATGGAAAACTCTATTTTATAGTTCGATCATTTTTTTACTTTTTTGAAAACTCAATTAATTACATTCAAGAATATGGGTGCTCAAATACTACCTATGGCTATTTACTCAAAGAATATGAAAATAGTTTTGGTCTGTTAATTAAACGAGAACTACCTTATGATATATATACTAAAGTACAATTATATCCTTTTGATTTAGTTTAATAATGAATTGTCGATACAACACAACCATTTGTTATTTTGTAAGTAATCAATTGGTATGGTACTACTGAGTACTTATCAAACATGTTTGACTATCAAACTATTGATTATCAACATATAGGTTTCGGTTAGTAAATTTGATTACCTTACTTTATATGTAAATCCAAGACATATGGCATCCCATGTGAATGTGAATATATATATATATATATATATATATATATATAATTATATATATATATATATATATATATATATATATATATATATATATATATATATATATATATATCACCATTTTATGCTTTGCAGTGTCTTTGGTTCTCTACTAAAGGTGTGTTGCAGGTGTAATCAAGACCAAAGATGCTTAGATCAATCAGATCCACTTGGTGAGTATTTTCTTCTACTTGATCTATCTAATCTCTCTCTCTCTCTCTCTCTCTCTCTCTCTCTCTCTCACACACACACACACACACAAAACACAGAGACAAACACATATACACTTTCATACTTGAGATTTTTCTTGTTTTGGGTTTGTCATGAAGCATCTCCATTTCAAGAGGTCTGGGTGCTCCAAGTTTCCAATTTAGGAGTTTCTCTGCTCAGTCTCCAAGGTTTGTTTCTTATTCTACGATCAACAATAACTCTAACCGATGTTTGTATGCATAACCGGGCGGTTTGTCTCGTAGCTTTTTGTCTGTTTTTAAAACTATATAATACTAATTAATATAATATGTGTAATTATAGAATCATATTATTAAAATAATAATGCTGTTTTTAAAATCCTCCTTAATAAATGAAAATTTTTTACTCCATATCATCTTCTCCTTCATTTGAATACATAACATTTTCTAGATTTTTTGAATTTTCTATTTTTCACTTATCATTTTATTGTAATTTTCATTTTATTAAATTAAAATTCCACATTTAATATGTAAGGTAATATATATGTAAGGTATTTATTAGAAATGATTTATATATGTAATGTATTCAATGCAAAGTCTCATTAATTTTAATAATTTAATTTTTTTTTCATTTTTCTTATAAATTCAAACTTCTCAAATTGTTAAAATTTCATATATATATATTTTTAAATAAACTCATATAATACATGAATCTCACACCTAG